AATTAACATTTCTCTTCCCTGAACAATAGTTAAAAACTAAAAAGATTAAAGTCAAAAGTATCGACTCCATTGCGTCAGGATGTATTCCATATGGCTCGATCTCTCTCCACACGAGTTTAAAGCACGAACCCCCGTAGCTCCAGCGACGATTCTGAACTGTATGGCGCAGCTGTGAAACGAACCCTAGAACTTTAGAGCGCGAGGCAAACGGCTTGATCCCTTCGCCACTGAGACCCTCTGAAAAATAGTAACAGCATACAGTTATCGCAGCTGACAAATGCGTCACGACTTCCCCCTAGGTCCTAATGTCGGCTCTGGGGCTAAGTCGATGCGAACGCTTCGTAATGCCGGGATGCCGGGTTCGAGCCCAGCTGCGGGCCATGTGCCTTGCTTTGGTTTCGACAGTGGTATCAAGAAAGCCGACCGTCGAGGAAGCAATGGCAAACTGCTAGACGTAAATTTGTCTGGAAAAACCACACAACATCCAGGGGCTGTTGGGGTTGGTTCTGCAACGTCCTGTAAAGGATACGCAACTAACCTAGGTCTTAAGGCAGTGGTTCTCAGGCTTCCTGATGCGGCGACATTTTGATACAATCCCTCGCGTTGTGACGACCCCCAAAGATACAGTTATTTTTGTTGCTACTGCATAATTTCAATGAATATATGTTTTCTTATGGTCTTTAGCGACAGCTGTGAAAGTGTCGATCGACCCACAAATGTGTCGTGACCCACAGGTTCAGAACCGCTGTCTTAAGGGCGCACACGTTCTCTGTGAGATATACTCTTCCTGTGCAACACATACCTTGAGCTAGGGTGACATTTTGCTCGTAATCCCTGATGTCCTGAACCTTTTAAGCCATATTTGCACTCACGTTGCTGCCGTACTTGCGACAAAGCTCTCTCGGTCAAAGGTCAGCGAGTACGTGCTGCCCCCAGAGATCATATCTTTTGTTTTCGTTCTGTTAGTCTTCTGGCGGAGCGGTTAAGTGAACTCTTACACTACCAGGGAACTCTTTAATTACCAGGGAACCCTTCCATTATCATGGAACCCTTCCATTACCAAGGAACTTCTCCATTATCAGGAAACTCTTCTATTACGAGGGAACTTTTCCATTACCAGGGAACTCTTCCATTACCAGAGAACTCTTCCATTACCAGAGAACTCTTCCATTACCAGAGAACTCTTCCATTATATCAGAGAATTCTACCATTACAAGGGAAAGTATTTGAGAGAAGTATAAGATATTTTACACGCCCTCGGGGCGTATTGGACATAAAGAGCTAGACCCTTATTATATAGACCAGTCGGTGCTTAGCGGGTCAGCATTACGCCGGCCGTCTTCACTTCCCAGAACTCCACCTGGTAGCCATTCAAGGCTGGGTTGACTCGGGAGCAAAGATCATTGTTGAAAGAAGCTAAACCCACGACCTTCCGATCCTCAGACGAGCAACTAGCCGCTACACCACGTGGCTCCCAACGCGGCAACATATACTGGTTAATCTTCACATGTTGAACATTTATGTACTATTTCTTATTGATTCTTCTAATGTAATCACCTATTCTATCTCATTATTGGCTATTGTCGCATACCCTCCCAGACACCCCCCACCCCCTGCCCCACATCTCCCCCACCCCACATCTCCCCCCACCAACTCCGCCCTAGAATTCTATAACAGTTTGAACTTGTTGCACTACGTCAGTGGCTCTTAACCTTCATACTGTCGCGACCCTTCAATACAGTTCCCTTATGTTGTGGCGACCCGTAAACAATTATTTTCTTTCTCAACTTCAATGAATGTTTTCCTATGGTCTTAGGCGACCCCTGTTAAAGGGTCGTTCGACACCCACACACAAAAAAGGTCGCGACCGGCAGGTTGAGAACCGCTGCACTACATGGAGCCGAACAAAATCAGACCATTTGCTTTGCCCACTGACGGTTATGGATTCTGCTCCTTTTTTTTTTTTTTTGCGCTCCCCGCCTGTTGACTTCAGCGACAAATTCTAGTTGTTCGTTATGTGTGTACCTTGGTCTTGTTCCAGAGCTTGAAATTTGAGCACACATCCATTTTATAAATCTGGTTTATTTGTATGCAGACTGTTGGTTCCTCGCCTCTCAGGCAGATGCATTTCGACTTCGAAAGAAGCTGCTTTAATTAGTCGATTTGTACGACATACCTTTTATGGAGCAGTGGGTCTTTTCTCCACCTTAATGGGACCTCAGAACACGGGAAGGTACAGATTTAAAATCTGCATCCTTCCGTTGGTTCAAAAGTATGGATGTTTTTGAACAATTCCTGCGTCGTCGATGTAGTTACGGAGCATCGTGCTTTGTGTGACGCTCTCAGCAGACGACGAACAACCGCTTCGCGGAAAAGGACTTACCCAAATATGATATAATACATGAGCTAAGAAGTCGACGCTCTCGCCTTTGAACACCTCTTTGATTGAAACTATTTTGAAAGTTCAGGAATCTTGCTTACCATTTCAAGATTTATAATTTGTGTTGTCAGACATTTTTAGCTGAAGATAAATGCGTAATTGTTTTTTAAAGACCGTTTTCTTATCTTCTTTTACTTCTATTGTGTTGTTATGCAATGCTTCCAAGAAATTTTTTTTTAGAAAGCAAGAAGAAGCAAGTGTCTTTTTTTTCCTCTTTAATCTTTTAAAGGTCATAGCTTGTCTTGTGTTCGTGTGCAGCAAAACTGCGATATTTGCACCTTTCGTCGGTAAATTCGACTTGAGAATGACATTTTGGATGGGTTTCTCTGCCCTCTTCAACACGTTCTTTTGTGTTTTGGTTTTCTACTTTTAAAATGTTGCCAAGGTATAGGTTTTACGTCTGTCCCTTTACGATTTCCAACAGCTCCGTAACTGTCTAGGCAAAACAAGTAGAGTCGGGAGATGTGAACAAGCGTCATTGCACATTGTTTAAAAACGTACGGACAGCTGATAAGGAACTGTTCACCTGTGTCGCCCTCCGCACGAAACACAAAGAGTCTGGGTGAACCCCGGAAACCGCCCGGTTTTGAACACCGCTAACCTGGTCCCGTAACTGTCCTTGACGCTAACACTTAGAAGCTGCGAGCAAGTTCAGAATTCTTTGACATTGTAGACACAATGGATCGATGCCTACGTTGAATTTAACAGTGAGAATGCTTTTCCACAAATACACTTTTTACAGCCTGAATGACTCTGATAAAGACGCATTAAGATCCTTGATGGTGATAGGGAGTTGATGTACTGTGCTTAGATTCTCTCTGTGAGATGTATTGAAAAAGATTAACAAGACTAGCATACCTATAAGAATGTCAAGATAAAATGAAAGTGACCGTAATGTCACTAGCAACAAAAGAAAGGACATGGTTACAGCACCCAAGAGAAAATGGATAAGAATGTGCCAGAATTATATTATTCTGAATATAATCTGGAAATCCAACAATTACTGCAGAGGAACGAAACTCCGACTCTACAAGAGCATCCTTTTGCCAGTTCTTCTTTATGGAGCGGAATGCTAGAGAATGACCAAAAAGGATGCACACAAGCTGTCCACCTTCCGCCACACATGTCTACGTAGAATTATCAAAATTTTCTGGCCAGATACAATCTCAAACACTAACCTACTTTAAGCCATAAACCAAGAAACTTTAGACAGTATGATAACCAAGATAAGATGGAAATGGCTTGGCCACGTTATGAGAATGAATCCGTACATATACCCGCCAAAACAGCTCTCACATGGACACCAGAGGGAAAGAGAAAACAGGGGCGCCCAAAAACAACATGGAGACGAACGATGGAAAGTGACCTGAGTGCGGCATCTTTGACATGGAAAACTGCACTGAAGATTGCGCAGGACAAGAAAGCATGGAAAGTTCTCTCTGCAGCCTCATGTGCCACTAGGCTTAACGAGAACTGATGAATTATATTGTCAGACACACACAAAATTTAATTGTTTGGCCATCCATTGCGAATCCAGCCACGCCAAACTGCATATGAGACCTTTTGTATCAGAACATCAGGGAGAAAGGGAAGGGGGACACCAAGAAAGAGATGGATAAGTAGTGAGCTAAAAACTGCAAAAACTATGTTAAAATCTACCACCCATCCCCAAGAAGCGCAAGATATATACAGAAAACCATGACGCGGGAGCTATAACGCGGTATCAGTGAGACGACAAAAGAAGCAAAATGGAAGTGATTTTAAAACAAAAACAAAGTCACGAAATAAATAGAATATATACCATTTACGTTGGGTTTCAAGGGCCCTTTTTAGGGGGCGGGGGGCATTGCTCCTTTACAAGTATGTCATAAAAAAGAGGGTGTGTTGCGTCGAAAAGTACATATGTGCACTCACTCTTAACCACAGCACAACGTGCCAACCGCCCTTTTAGGGGCTAAAGAAAAAGAAGAAGCAAAAAAAAAATAGATAAGATGATGATTATGATCATGATGATGATGGGAAGAAAAGGGAGAAGAAGAAAACGAAGAAGAAGAAGAAGAAGAAGAAGAAGAAGAAGAAGAAGAAGAAGAAGAAGAAGAAGAAGAAGAAGAAGAAGAAGAAGAAGAAGAAGAAGAAGAAGAAGAAGAATGAAGAAGAAGAAGAAGAAGAAGAAGAAGAAGAAGAAGAAGAAGAAGAAGAAGAAGAAGAAGAAGAAGAAGAAGAAGAAGAAGAAGAAGAAGAAGAAGAAGAAGAAGAAGAAGATGATGATAATGATGAATAAAAAGAAGAGTAAGAAGAAGAAGAAGAAGAAAAAGAAGAAGAAGAAGAAGAAGAAGAAGAATGAAGAATGAAGAAGAAGAAGAAGAAGAAGAAGAAGAAGAAGAAGAAGAAGAAGAAGAAGAAGAAGAAGAAGAAGAAGAAGAAGAAGAAGAAGATGATGATGATGATGAATAAAAAGAAGAGTAAGAAGAAGAAGAAGAAGAAGAAGAAGAAGAAGAAGAAGAAGAAACAGGTACCAGAATGATATTATATATACTGATTATTGTACTTTCAATTTCAGGAAGCTCCACAACCAGTGATGACTCGGCAGTGTACTCAAAAAATCACCATAGCAACAGTGACGACGACCGGGAGCTGTGGTTCAAGGCCGCGGTTATAGCCGTTCCTATAGCTGGCGGGTTTATCCTGGTGCTTCTAGTACTGCTAGCCATGCGCATGCTGCGAACAGACACACGCCACCACAGAAGACTTATTCATATCCGACGGGAACACAGCCTGACGAAAGCTCACATGTACATCAGTGACCATTTCTCCAGCAAGAGCAGTAAACAACAGTTTTCATTATTCAGTGGCAACCCCGGATTTAAATCCGCACAGACTTACACAGGTAAAGTTGCAACCGGCAGTGGAAGCAGTTATATGAGCAACTGTCATTGCACATCGACGTGTTTCTGCGACAGCACAAGCAGCTGTTGCAATCATCCATTGCACAGTGACAGCATTAAAACTGCAGATCCCCACTCTGCATTACACCTGGGCAATCACTGTCATGCCCCATTGGCATGTAGTTCACATCGCAGACACCCATCTTACATCCCCTGTTCTACCAGCGGTGAAAGTCATGGCGGATCTACCGTTAATAACTGCACCAGACCATGCTCTTTCTTCCCAGACCCATCCACGTCCCAAACCTCAAATAGAGATATTCACGGCAAAACAGACTCTGTGTGCCACATAGTTCCACGTACAATCGCCATGCTTGATTTGAACAGAACACATTCTGAACGGGATTACAAAAGTCAACCTATGATCCCTTGGGAAACTTCTTCCTTGTCAGGACCAATAGCTGATGTGTGATATTTATATATATATATTTTTTTAATTAGTGTATGGACGTGTACTTTGTTGTTAGTATGATACTGTTCAGAATGTCCAGTAATTGTAAGTGTTGGCACTACATAATTCAGACAGTCATTCTGAATGTCCAGTATTTGTAAGTGTTGGCACGACATAATTCAGACAGTCATTCTGAATATCCAGTAATTGTGAGTGTTGGCACGACATAATTCAGACAGTCATTCAGAATGTCCAGTAATTGTGAGTGTTGGCACGACATAATTCAGACAGTCATTCAGAATGTCCAGTAATTGTGAGTGTTGGCACGACATAATTCAGACAGTCATTCAGAATGTCCAGTAATTGTGAGTGTTGGCACGACATAATTCAGACAGTCATTCAGAATGTCCAGTAATTGTGAGTGTTGGCACGACATAATTCAGACAGTCATTCAGAATGTCCAGTAATTGTGCTTGTGTGTTGTCAGCAGGATAATATTCAGACAGTTATTCTGAATGTCCAGTAATTCAACCAGAGACAAACAAAATCTGTTGGTGAATACTCACACGAATGCAAGTTAAATATTTGGGTGAAATATATGCGGGTGTCTGAAAATATGTGATAGTTAAAACAAATCAACATAGAAAATATACGATAGTTTGGTGAAACAATACATTCAGTATATAATCCCTGAAGAAATGACCCCAAAACTATATGGCCATTAAAGAAATATGAATGACAGCGAGAGGCTTAACATAGAAAATATACAACAGCTGATAAAACAATACAGAAATTGAACGACAGTTGAAAGAATAACACAGAAAGAAAGTAAATAATGAAGAATTAACATAGAAATTGTTTTTAAAAAACTGCAGAAATAGTCAGAAATTATACAGAACAAAAAGAAACAATACTGAAATTTTATAATAATTAAAGAACTAGCGCAGGAAGAAATTACTAAAATAAAAAAAAACACAGAAATGGTATGGTAATTGAAGATACAACACATGCATTATTTTAATAATTAGGAAACAGTATAGAAATGTTTATAATTAAAGAAATATCACAGAGAATATGTAACAACCAAAGAAGGTCTACAAATTGCAAATCAGTGAAGAAACTGCTTAGAAAGTATAAAACAAATAAACAACACAGAGAACAATTTGACATCGTCTAAAGCCACATCTCTGGCCGCCGCGGTGTAGCGGCTAGACGCTCGCTGGCGGATTGGAAGGTCGTGGGTTCGGGTCCTGACAGAGCTCGACTTTTTTTTTTTAAATAGCCTAGGCAGCCAGGTCGAGACAGCCTTAAATGGGTACCAGGTGCAGTCCTGGAAAGTAAAGGCGGCCGGCGTCATGTCGACCACATCACCCACCGAGTACCGTTGAGTCCTATAAGAATATATAGGTCTAGCCCTGTATGTGCATTACCCCTGAAGGCGTGAAAAAGGGTGTTGTAATTTACTGTGCCCAATTTACTGGGGAAAACTCCAGGCAGTTTCTCGAAAGGAACGAATTAATCAAGTAACAGAAAGTATTGTGAACGGCACTCATAGAAAGAAGTAGAAAGATAGAAGAACACACTAGACAACATAAAAATCGAAAGCTATAGTTACCGTGCCGGGAATTGAACCTCTGAAAGGAACGGGAACATCGTCTGTCAGAAGAGGACATCACAGTACAATTAGTCGGGAACCCATCAGACCGGAACAGTATTTCCGCAGTGCACGCAACATACTGCGTCATTTAACAAACTACAACACAGCACAGCCCAACTGGTTGTCAAAATTGACATATCTGAACAGACATGTTACTTTACTGTTGTCACCCGTAGACACATTTGGGGTGACAATAACTTTACTGGCTCATCTGCGATGTTCAGGTTTCGTATTCTTCTTTCGGTGTTCACTGGCTGTAAACTCGGGCGGAAATTTCTGATTGTTCTTCCACTCTTGGACTTTGGTCTTGATCCAGAAATTGAGTTTTGTCAATATTACAGATCTGGCTTACTTGTGTGCAGACTATTGCAGATCTGGCTTACTTGTATGCAGACTATTGCAGATGCACCCCTACTTGAAAGAAACATCCCTAATTATTCTACTTTTGACGACAAGTTTGTTATGGGGGACTGTTTATTTTATTCCTCATAAAACAGGGCCATGGAATCCACACGGGGATCTATGTTATAATAATGCTGAACTTAGCACTGACCAAGCGATCTGTATGTTATATTAATGCGAAACATGGCACTGACCCAACGATCTGTATGTTATATTAACGCGAAACATGGCACTGACCCAACGATCTGTATGTTATAGCAATGCTAAACATAGCACTGACCCAGTGATCTGTATGTTATATTTATGCTAAATATAGCTTTAACTCCGCGATCTGTATGCTATATTAATGCTAAACATAGCACGGACCCAGCGATCTGTATGTTATAATAATGCTAAATCTAGCTTTAACTCAGTGATCTATATGCTATAATAATGCTAAACATGGCACTGATCCAACGATCTGTATTTTATGTTAATGCTAAATATACCACTGATCCAGCGATTTGTATGTTATAGTAATGCTAAACATAATACTAAACTGAGAACCAATCGATAATATATAGGCTACTAAGACATATGTTTACTGAAATTGACCAAAATACAGTCATGTGTTTTGTATGGTTACCACATACAGAATACTTCACGGAGGTCCAATGGACACACGACCTCAGGGGCGGCTTTGGTCTCTTGTCTTTTTCTACTGCGTTTCTGGTTAAGGGAAAGGGGAGTTTTACGTTTTATGGTGTGGTTTACATGTAGCTATGATGTATACTTTTTTCTTTACAAACACATCCGATTTTAGCAAATCCCTACACTGTGGATCTGGCCCAAAGGAGCCACATTGCAAGAGAAGCCATATGCGACCGGTGGCGACCTTAAACGCACAATCCTATTTGTGACCCAGGCGGGACTCAATGTTTAGCATGACTGATGTCGAACGCAGAAGAATAAGAAGAAGAAGCAAATTCTTAATTAGTCGTACTTTATGGCATACACGTTAATAGGCAGTTGGTTTATTACCCCCACCAACCACCTCCAAAAAGTGTGAACCCAGAATAACCACTGTAAATTCAAAATATCTTTATTCGTTGTGGCGCTCTCTCTCTCTCTCTCTCTCTCTCTCTCTCTCTCTCTCTCTCTCTCTCTCTCTCTCTCTCTCTCTCTCTCTCTCTCTTTCTTTCTCTCATCTTATTTACTACTGTTACCTTAACAACGGTTATGGTAACTTTCCCAGAGTGTCGGTAAAGAATATACTGTTATTCCACTGAACCACAGTGCATCAAAATAGAACATTTCCCAGCTGTATTCTAAATGCGCACTTCTTACCTTATAGCACCTTTGTTTCTTCACGGTTCATTTCTCAGCCTTCTCAGACCCACAGCGTGATTTATGCACATATCACCACGTCTGCCCACAAAAACTATCCTGTCTACTGAACGGTGAAATTGTGAGACCGGAGTTTATCATCCCTTTCAAGATCATAAAAAAACTGTTACAGAAAATTTATGAATGGCAGTATTGCCTGCAGGTGAACGCATCAGGTTTCATTGTGCAGGTTACAAATTATGAACTGACTTCTGATGCTTTCTGTTTCCCACTGTGCAGTACCATTGCTAGGCCATTTATTCACCGAGCACGGTAACACTTTTGTTCTTTGTACATCTGCAAATGTCACACTAGATGCGTTTGAAGATTACGAAGGGCTACTTAGGTCATTAACTTTATTGCGTAACAAGATATCAAACTAAATGAAACTTAGAATAGTCAGCTTTATGTTACAACAAGGTTAAGGTTAAACTGGAGAGGATCGACTTCATTGCACCGGGTTTTATCCCCTATGGCTCGGTCTCTCTCCGTAAAACGGCTAGCGGTCTGCCGAGAGCACCGCGTTGAGCACAAACTTTTGTAGTTCCGGCAACGATCCCCAGAGACCTCGGTTAAAATTGCACTCATAAACTGAAGGGCACAGCCGTGAAACGAACCCACGACCTTCAGAGCAGGAGTCAAACGGCTTGACAGCTTTGCTACGAGATTCCCTATCTTGTAATAATCATAAACAACAAGTGGACACTGCGGCTAGAAAACCTTCATCCGTACATGGCCGGAATATGCAGTGTTACAATTCTTCTTCTTCTTCTTCTTCTTCTTCTTCTTCTTCTTCTTCTTCTTCTTCTCTTCTTCTTCTTCTTCTTCTTCTTCTTCTTCTTCTTCTTCTTCTTCTTCTTCTTCTTCTTCTTCTTCTTCTTCTTCTTCTTCATCATCATCATCATCATCATCACCATTATCATTATTTCGAGACCATGGGGTTCATTGCTGCAGATATCACCCGCCTCCACTCATCTCTCTGGATGGCCTTCTCTTTCTAGTTGGTGACACCAAGTGTTTGTAGATCTGTCTGGATACTATCTCTCCATTATCTTCTGTGTCTGTTTTATGGTCTACGATCATTCAGCTCCCTTGTGAATACAGTTTTTCCCTCTCTGTCATGTGACACTCTCTCAATACGCGCCAGCCATTTCAGTCTATAAGAGTTCAAGATGCCGGTGACCAATAGTGATTTGAAAAGATCATGATTTTTTTTAATTGCTTCTCACTCTCCGTTCCCCGTGGTTTGCATCTTTCATAGGTCCAAAGGTTCGTCCTAACACTCAGAAATGTTACAGATACAAACAACAAATTCAATCTATCAGGGAGCCGTCGTGGTGTAGCAGCTAAACGATCTCCTGCAGATAGGAAGGTCACGAGTTCGGGTCCTAAAGGTACCGGACATTTGTCCAAAAGGCAGATCACCCACCGAATGCCGACTGGTCTGTAATATATCGATCTAGCCCCATATGCCCAATAGGTCTGTAGACGTGGAAAAGGTACTTTACTTTACTTACATGCTTATACACCAGTGCAACTCAAATGATGGTCTGCGGACCAGAGCTGGTCCACTAAGACCTAGCTAATTTTCTCTCTT